ATTAGTTGAGTCGCAGGTTTTGAGGAGAGAAAAGTTTCGTATTTCTGTGGTAAAAGAAGATAATGGAAAAGAGGTCCTGTGTCTTTGCCAGGATGAGAGTTTTTTCATAGGTTTTAGTGTCACAGCTTTAGGCATCTACTTTTTGGCAGCTCTAAATGTGTTTTGGCAGCTGTAAATGTGCTATCTCCACAGGCAGTTTTGGAACATCGGTGCTTCTAAAAGGCAGGTCTGTCCAATAAGGATGTTTAGGACAGCATTTAAATACAAGAGTTTGGAGTTTCTGAATGACTTGGAAACAACTTAGTGTTTTGCTCATTGAAATTTGTTAAAGACATTATAAAACAAAATGCTGTCATTGCCTTTAAACAGACCCGTAGAATATACTTTGTCTTCAGTCAGGAATAAAACACTGAAATTCAGCATATCTTTCTTTCACATCACCCCTGTTGTCTCTAGCAGAGGTTGCCCTGGTTCTCCTTGGTGTGAATTAACAAGTTCTAATTTGTTTATGAAAGTTATGGGTGTGTTTTTATTATTTATTGGGATTTCTTCTATGGGTTCAAGAGGTTATAAAGCTGCCTCTATGAAAGATGAAGACTTTTACCCCAGGCAAGTTGAGTGAAAGCAGCTGTAATGTGATCTTCTCTGCAGTGCCTTGCTAACTAGTATCTCCCTTTCTGGGAGTAACAGTAATTTAATCTGTTACTGTAATTTATTTTTCACTTTTTCCGAAGATAAACAGTCAGTTTCAGTCACTTATGATAAGCCACTGTTAGTAAAAAGTAATCTGAAAGCAGATGACGATACAGGGGCCACCAGAGTATAACAAGCTGTGTAGCATGTACAAAACTGTGAGCTAAAGCACAAAAATACTTCTGCATTGCTGCTTTTTTTTATTTACGCAGTCAGTCCGTGTGCCCCTGTAGGGTCTGTGGCTTGCTTTCTAACATGGTGGTAGGAAAAGGGGAAATTAATTCCTTTAGTGCTCTAGAATTGTTATATATGTTTTTCTAAAGCAATACCTACTGCCATTACCTCTGTAATAATAATAATAATAATAAATCACATGTGCTTGAAAATCATGCACATATTTGGTAATGGGTTTTGCTTAACCTTTATATAATTCTTGATTCCAGCAAGCGCGTGAAATACAGGCACCGCTATCTGCTTTATCATCTTGGAATTTGTAGGGATTCAAGATGGTAAACTGCAGTATCACATAAGCTTCAAGATTATTTTTAACAGGCTGTAATATGTTAAGCTGCACCATATATAACTGTTGGGATTGTATGCGATGGTCCTGGTTCCATCACTGCTTTCCAGGGGCACCCTGCAACTTTAGACACCTCTGAGGGCGGGTGCTTGGGTGCGGGTTCTGCTTCGTAAGGCTAAGGAGGATAGATCAAAGATTTTAGCAGGAGGTCAGATAGATTTTTGTAAACTTGATCAGATTGAATTTGCTGCAAGATTCAGTGTCATAATATTCTGTCCCCCTTGAGACAAATGTTTTTCTTTGACACCTGTCCTCAAATTTTGGACCCAAGAGCGCTTAGCAGTTCGTCTGAGGACAGCGGTTTGAGGCAGGTCTAGTGGGGTGACACAGTGGCACTTGAGAAGAAAAATACAAGTCAGGACTATGTCCTGAATTCAAATTAAAAATAGATATTGGAGGAGGGGGGAGTGGGGGACCTTAAGAGCTATTTCTTCCCAGAGTTGCAGATGTATTTGCTTACTAGATATCACCATGACAAAGCAACCTGCTTTTCTATTTGTTTTGTTCCTTATCTTTTAGTTTATGAAAATAAGTTAGCAGGAAAGAGCTGTGAGTCCAGAAGGTGGATGCTTTGGCAGCACACTGGGCTCAATCATGGCTCAAACAGCAGCAATCTTGAGGAGAAAAAAAAAAAAAAAGAGGACAAAAGGAGGTGGCAGACAGCCGGCTGGCATGTCACTTTGCACCCTTCCAGCATGGGCTGGTGCTCAGGAATATTTTTGGGTTCATTTTTCCTCCTTTTAGCCATGAAATCACCCCAATAAACTTGTGTGTGTTCCTCCCCTCCAAATCGCACGCGCTTTCTCACTCCTCCTCCCTCCTTTTTTAAAAATCCGCAGAAGTCTCTATGTTTTCCTAGTAACTGGCAGCAGAGGCAGGGCCTGTCCCCTGGGCCGCGCGCTGAGGAGCTGGCGGCAGATCAGAGGGGAGCCCGGGCGCGCGGCCTGCGCACGCGGCCTCCGCGGGGCCTGCTCATGGCGTCTCCCCCGCGTGTCTTGCAGGCGAGCGGCCGGCTGAGGCACATGGAGAAGGAGCACGGGCAGAAGCTGGCCAAGTCGTCGCAGGTACGAGCCGGGCTCCGCTGCTTCGGGAACATCACGACGAGGGCCGCGGCTCCTGCCCTCAGTGTTTATGGGCAGGGGAAGCCGGGAGCGTTCCTCAAGTGCCCCACGCAGCATTCCTTACAGGTTTTAAGCACTAAAAAAAAGTACAAAAAGTTCTACTGAGTGGAAAAAATGATTCAGAAAAAGGTGGCGGTGCACCGTGACGGTGCTGCCCTCGATCCCAGCGCTGCAGCGGCTCTGCCCAGGGCTCAATCAGCCTCCCCGCAGCCCCAGCAAATTTTGGGGGCATGTCAATGGCCTGAAAAGGGCTTTTGACTTGAGTTTTTGCTCTTTAGGGTACCATTTTGAACACAGAAGAAGAAAACATGGCTTAAATTTGGATGTGTGGTTAAAAGTGATAAGACAGGATGTTTTTTTTAAGTGTTTCAGCTTGCATTTTGATTGGCACATCGCACTGAAATGCAAAAAATGATGGGGATGCAATCAGAAATTAAGCTTTAAGAAGAAAATTACCACAAGGTTTTATGCGGAGGTGTCGTTCTCATTCCTCACAGCTGCAGCACAGCACGTCTTGTTTGCTTGCAAATTTTTCAGCAGGAGTTTGTCACTTTTAAAATCAATTAAAACTTCTGTATAAAGAATGTTTGCAAGACCTCCAGACTAGGAAATGTCTGGACATGTGATTGCAAACTTTGCTGGTTTACAAACACATGAAATATTTCTAAACTATTGATTTCAACTTTGGAGAAATGTCTTTGACTCTTGTTTTCTGTAACATTGGCCAAAATTGTGCTCTTACTTAATTCAGTGAAATTTCATTGGATATCAAATTTTTCATGGTACATTTTTTTGAGACTGCATTTATCAGAACCATTGGCAAATAATTTTTTGAACTCTGTTTCTAATGATTAACACATCTTTCCTGTGCTTTTACTTGCATACAGCGAGACTGTGGGGTCTCCATCCTTGGAGATATCCAAAGCCATTAAAAAGTTTTGTAAAACAAACTTATTCTATATCTTGCCCTCTGAACTGCAACAGGAAGAAATTAGTAAGCCCCGCAAAGGAATGTTTAATGCATGTCAGACCTCGAGGCTGAAACGTTTTCATTGCTAGTGCTATTTTATTTTTGTTGTTGTCATTTTATACTGTTTACATGTCTAGCAACTCTAATCAGAAGTCCAGCTCCTTTTGCCAGGCACAGTTTACTGGTGGAATAAAACTGGATCTGGGTCTATTCATTAAAGACAGGTGGAGCAACTGAAGCGATTCTGGATTTGTAAACATCAGGGTGAGAGAAATTGCTCTAATTGTTACAGTGGGGGCACCTAGGTAATGCAATACCAGGTGGTAAACATTGAACCTGAATGTCATCATAAACTTTGTCAGACTGAAATTTATTGGCCTGTGGAGCAGTCTCAAAATGGAGAAAAAAAAAAAAGAGATGTATTTTATTTTAAACTAAATATTATCTAGCTCCTTTTCTGTTCTCTTTATTGAAGAGGGATGGACCAAATGACCCAAACTGGTATTTCTGTGTGCTTTCAGTGGCAAGCACAACACACACATCATATGTCATGTTTTTTTGGCGCAATGAAGGTGTTTCAGCCCAAAGTCTGAATTTCTTTACTTTTATGGGTTTGAATCAAATCCCTCATGTTACTTAAACATGGTTTTTTGTAGTGTAGTATTAATAATAGGTCATTTGCAACTTTTCTTGTGGTCATGCTGCTGACACCATCAGTCTAGTCTTATTTTATGTGGCCTCTTGGAACATTCACTTTTAACACCCACACAGAGAAGATATGTCAAGAAATGTTCTCTGAAGTTTATACAAAGTAAACAGTTTCTTTCTGTGAGTAGTGCTGGACAAAGCAGATCTTTCTCCATCTATGTATGCTAAAATTTCCTTAAATGTATTTCAGAGCTTCTGTGCTAGTTCAGGGTCTTAACTCAGTAAAAGCCATGTGTGATATTATTTTTGTTATCTTTTAAAAAAAAAGTGTCAAAATGGAACGTACATGAAGTAGTGGAGGCTTGCAATTTGAGTCCAAATTGCCTTCTTATCTTAATGAGCATAATTTATGTGCACTGTCACTTTCTCCCACCTTCTCACTGTATATGTTACCATCATTTTAAACACTCAACAAAGCCTAGTTTGTACAAATTGTCACATAAAGGATCTAAAGCACAAAGCAGGTGATACACCCAATTCTGCCTACAGTTACACCTATTATATTTGTTTTTCCTATATAACTGTGGCCTCAGTATAGCTGAATTTTTTCTAGGAGTGAGGAGACCTGGCACACATGCAGGTCTGAGCGCTCTGGGAGTCCTCTCTGGACTGCCTGTGTGCTTAAGTGTTGCAGAATTAGACTATATTATTCTGCTACAGCAACTTAACCTTCAACTTGAATATATACATTGCAGTCAGTATGTCTCCCTTCTTACCTAACATTAAGCACATGTTTAAGTGCTTTGCTGGGTGATGACTTACATGTCAGCATAAAATTTTATAAATAGGCTTGAGGGATCCAGATAAGTTATAGCATTCCTCAGTGATAAAAAAAGAAAAAGATGAATAGATTTCAACAAAGCACGAGTGACTCATGTAAAAGGTCTAGTGTAAGGGCACTGGCCGTTTAATCAGGTCCCCACTGTATTGTTAAGAGAATACATTCCTTCCAATGGCTCAGAAATTTTCCTACCAAGATTAACATTTGAGCTGTGTTTCTCTTCTCTGCAGTACCAAGTGATTGGTGTTGTGCTAAAAAATGAATACCACAACTGATATGGAAATTTGAAATAGTATTTCACTGCAGTGGAAAAGTGGAAGCATCCTATATTTTGAAGATCACAGATGTGCTTTGTCCTCATGAGTAAATATTTTGGAATGTTATAGTGGAAACCTCTTCCAAATATTTTGCATTCAGCAGTTTTTGCCATTCGCAGCCTTCCTGTATCCCTTTGCTCTGCGAGGAATTTCATGCTTGCTGGTGTGTAATATGTTAATTTAAAATACTTAGTTTGCACAGCGGAGTTTGCCAACTCCATCCTTGTACCAAGCATAAAAACATGCAAAATACATGCCACTTACTGAAGAGAGATTTAGCATGCTGTTTTCTTTTTAGATCATAGCTGAACTTAAGACAACCATTTCCTCTCTGACAGAGGAGAACAGCCGGCAGCAGCTTGTTGCAGAACAGCGGCTCCAGGAAGTTGTACAAAAGTTTGAAGATAAGAAGCAGCAGCTGATTAGAGATAATGACAGAGCAATCAAGGTAATCTGGGGGGTTTAGTCACTGATGCTACTACCTGCTTTAGTGTAATTAAAAGTCCTGCAGTGGGCAGATGGGTGCAGGCAGCGCTGTGTTCGCGCAGCCCTCGCTAAGCCCAGGCGCTGGCCTCGACTTTGATGTCTCCGATGACTCAGTCTGCCTCTCCTCTCCCTGGTCATGTTCCCGCTTTAAAAAGTTAGGCTTTTTGGCAAATCTCAAGCCGTTTAATTCAGTCAAATCTGTGAAACTTTTTCTCTCTCTTAGTATTAACTCAGATGTTTTAACAGATGCTCAGCACCTTTATGTAATTTCTTAGTTAAAAAGGTGAAAAGGAGGAGATGAGTGAGCAGCATCCCGTTGCCTTTGCTGCCTCTCACAGGGAGAGCTCAGCTTTCATGTTTAAGGCCACAATGAAGCAAAGTAGGTTCTTAATTTCTTAGTTTCCACTGGAAACTCTATGAAGAGACTCCGCTAAATATGCATGGACTACAGTAGTTGTTCTCTGTAGCTTGTTTTCATTATGCTTTTACATATTTTATTATCTTAGTTACATTCTCTGGCCTTTCTTTTTTTTTAAGGAAACGTGTAAGAAGTAGCTAGTTTTGCATGCATGGAGATTAAGTGCTTCATGCTGCTCTGTGTTTTGCACGAAGCTTCTGAGCAATGCCCCAGCAAGACTTTAGCAACTCGTGCTGCGAGTGTGTTTTGTAAGACTCGGTCAGCTCGGGAAAGAAATTCCAGGCGATGTTATGCTTGGAGTTCTTGAACGTTGTTTAGTATCGTTAATACTGTGCTTTGCAAAATCTCCCTTTGAAACCACTGAATTAATGGAAATGTGCTGAAAGCCGGATATCTCCACAGAAAATTCTTAGCAGGGAAAACAGCTGTATTCATTTCTAGAAGCAGAAAGAGGTTTCTAATTATTGATCGCTTAGTATTTAAGAACCACACGTAGCTCTAGACAGCATATGCCTAAATGCTTCGCTCCTTATTAGCCTGGGGCAAAAAAAAATGTTCTTGGTGAAAATGGAATCCTAGATGTCCGGGAGATGGGTATCAGCCTCCAACCCAGGGTAAGGTGAAGACCTTGGGAGGTGGTTAAAGAAACATTTTAAAGAGAAAACAATTCTTAATGTAAACTTTTGAGAAGGCTTAGTATAATATAAGTCTGGAAAAGACTGTTGTCAAAAATTGCTAAATATAACATTGATTTAAACTAACATTGAGGAACAGATTGCAATTTCCTTTGTATTGCATGTGGTGACTTCCTGTAAGAGACCTTCCAGTTACTATTTCCTTTCACAAGCAAAGTACATTTTTACAGAAGCCAACTGTCTCAGTGATTTTTCATGTTTAGTCAATAAAGCAGATGTGGGCACCACAGTGCATGATTTTGATATTAATTCAAATTCTTGACTCTCTTTTATAGTTGAAAAACATATTATTGCATAGTTGTATTTATCCCTGTAGTGTTGTGGGTTTTTTTTAATCACATCTTAAGCATTAGTGAAAAGTAAATATGTGAAACTTTAAGAATGTTCTGATTCTTGTGACAACAACAACAACAACAACAAAAAAAACAGTGCAAGCAGCCCTTTTTGGTTCCAGATGGCCTGCGTTTGGGTCGGTCAGAGATGAATGCCTGGAGTACTTGGCATTCTGCATTCCACTGAGAATTGTCTGGCCTAAGGCCGAATGGAGGCTTGTGCAGCCAGAGTCGTAGAATCAAGATAAAATTTTTGATCGTCAAATTCCTTTCTTGTGACTTACAAGGTAACCATTTTGATTCCATCGCACTGCAGTGTCTAATACCAGATATCTAAGTGGGAGTCTGGCGAGGTGTTGAGCAGCTACGTGACTGCTCTCACTGCCCTTTTGTCTCGGGTAGGACCGTGCTGGCCCTGGGAGCCGTCCCGCCTGCTCCTGTGCAGATTCCTCTGCTTTGAACTCGTCCAGACTTCCAGTTTTTGGAACCTGGCACAAGGACACGTGAGGCAAATGGAGCAACGCTCACCTGGTCTCTGTGCTGAGCCTCTCCTTACGTGTCAGAGATTAGGACCAATGGGTTTAGGCCCTAGGATTAGCAGTTGAGAGCACAGTTATATTAATGCCCTACAGATGCTTGGAAAAGCTGCTTAAATCTGTTAACCCCTTTGAGATGCTGTGGACTGAGGTGTTAGAAGGTCTTTGGAAGGGTGCTGGATGCTGAACACTTGCGAATGTCTGTGCAGAAGCTACATGAGTGATTGAAGCGTGGTGTAAACTAGGCTAAATTTAACTAGCTAATTTTAACTAGCTGTCTCATATCCTGATAACAATCTAGCCACAATAACCCAGGGCTCCGCATGATCAAACGGTCAGAGTATTTACCTTGCTTTTCTGATGCTTTTGGGCAGTGGTTACCAAGTCTGGACTCCCATGGCTGGACTCAGCACTAGCATAAAGTTAATTGTGTTGTAGAAATATCTTAAGGCTATTTATGAAATCACAGCCTCAGTCTTTTATGAAGTCCTTTAGGTTCCTTGGATTGAAAGTGCTGCAGAGCTGCAAAACATTTGCAGCGTTTTAATGTAGAAGTTGATGGTCGAGTGGGGACTCCACATCAAAAAGCAGACTCTGAAAGTAAATGGATGATGGAGAGCAACAAACACACAACAGAGACGGGAGAAAATAATGATATTTTTGGAAAAGGGAACCCCCTTTGTTGTTTTGTTTCATATTACAGATTCTAGGATTCTGTTATATCCCCAGCATTAACACCAAAATTTCATTAGCAAGACATGAGTTGAAGATGACATACTTCAACACTTCGTCAGTCAGATTATGACCAGATTAATTCTGTTAATAAATGGGACTTAAAAGATTTCTAGGAAAGAATGTCACACAGTAATGCTTCCCTTGGTGAGAAAAAATTGGAAACAGTTGTTTTTCTTTGTTATGTTCAAATCCAAAGTGTATTTTTTAAGCCAGAACAGAACAGAGAAGAGCAACTTTTAATTTTAAAGTGATGTAGACCCATGTAGAGAATAGATATTCCCAAACATCATGTATTTCTTAGGTGCTGCCGTATGTTGGAGCAAGAAGTCCCCCTTGCATGGGGTGCTCAGTGATGCCGCTGTGGCATCTAGACCTTGGGATGTTTAAAGCATTCCGAATATTTCTTTCAGGGCACCTGATAGCTTGGTTTCCAGAAAGTCATCATCAAAATATCCTGGTGCTACTTCCAAACCTCTCTAAAATGTAGTATTAGGATCAGAAAAAATGTGTTTAAAAATCATGTGAACCAGTCCGTTTTGCTTTCAGTTATATTTTATTATCAGCCCTGTTTATTAGCAACTTCCATTTGTAATTACAATGTTTTTTATTAAAAGAAAAACCATTGCAGAGATATGGAAACATTAGCTGAGTTACTGACATCCTGTAGAACTAGTCTGTTGTCCTCAAAATACCCTTGAACTGCCACCAGTGGCCTCTGCAGTAGCTGATGGTATTTTTATTAGTTAGATAAATAATAAAAATTTGTTGACTTAAAAAAAGGCTGTGACCATGCATCACTGGTAGCACTGAGAGTGTTAATTAGGCAAAAAAACCCTGAAGTTTAGGCTACCCCAAAAACTAGAGCCTAAAACTTGGTGTAACTAAATGAAGATACAGATTTATTTTTTCTTCCAAGGAACTCTACCTCTTTGCTTCTGACTTTAGTCTATAATAATACTGATAACTCTGTCTCTTATTAGCAGGGAATTACAAGGCACCAACCTATAACATTTTGTATTTTACCATTGTAAAATAGTCATAAAAAATACCAGGCAAATCTTGGTATCTTGCTTCCTATATTCTGTCTGACCAGCAGAGAAGGTTTTGTGTTCCCAAAGGGCAGGCAAATGACATTTGCAAGGCTTTTAAGGTGTTACCTTCTCTTTTTCCAAATTCTGAAGTACCTGTTTTTTCCAAGTCATTGTTTATACAGATACTTTGTTTATATGAATTCACTCAAATTCAGCTTGTAAGAGAAATTGAGGATTTAGCCCCAAGGTTACAAACTGCTGCTCATACTGCGTGCTACAGATTCCATTATAAGGGCATCTTTAAATGACTATGTTGACACAGTCATTTTGGATGAAAATAAAATAGACTTGCTTTCATATTAACATGAGTTTGTTAAGCACAATTATTAATAGCAACCAAAATTGATTTTAAAAGTCCTCTCCCCTTTTCATGATCCTGTCTCTTTTTCTGTTGCCACAGAAATTATTTCATTGTATGAAGCATAGTACCTTCGCTTCCAAATTACAGGGTTTCAGATGTTTAGCCAGTCAGGCAATCGGAGGGGTTGAGCATCTGTAAGTACTTTATAATATCTTTGACATGCTTTGTGAGACCAAGAATTGAGTCATCTTTTTTCCTGCAGCAAGCTTTGCACTCTGGCATTTTTCTTGACTTTTCATGTCTCAACACATTGAAGAACTTACCATGGCCAACAGCAAAATCATACTTACAAGTTTTATAAAAGACTAGAACGGGTGCTAGCCTAGGCTCTGAACTGCAGACCGGTTTTATCCAGCAGGTTTAAAACTCTGCATTTTTACTATTTTCATCCATACTCATTGTTGCTGTCAGTGTTTTACTTCCCCTGCAGAAGTCATGCTGCTGCATGACCCCTTCTTTCCTCTCTTAATGTTAGAAGAGGTACCACATTACATCTGCTAATCTCAAAATTATAGATCTGAAGATTCCATAAATGCAAAACAAAATATAAAATCTTATGTAGTTAATCCAGCAGTTTCTGTTAATTAGTTTGATTGCAGTTATTTTATACTGGAAAAAAATGACAAAAGAGAATTAAAAGCAAGTCTTGAAGTTCATTGCCTTTAACTGACAAAAATAAAATAATAATAGTGCATGGAGTCCTAAACTATTAGGAGTATATAGAGAAGATTGCCTGCTAATGACTGTTAAATAATACTAGCATAAACCTATGCAGCTAATAAAGGAGAGCAGAG